TTTCCGTCCCGTTTTTGCTCATATCTCGGAGGCAAAATGAGCAAGAACGCTCATTTGTCCATCATTCTAGAGAGAAATAAATGGCCTTTTTAGAAAGTGAACCATCGATTTTTTTCCAGTTTTCTCAATCTTTCATTCAACCATTCGAGCCACAGAGTTCGTTTTGGCATCGTTGGATAGAGAATTGAATGGGCGTGCACGGGATTGGGGTAACAACATTACACGGTGATAGATTTTCGTTCGGCAGGCTCGAATACTAATCAGRGATAACGAAACGGAACTAGAAACTGTTTGTAAATCGACTTGGGGCTCTTAAAATGGGAAAAAAATTGAAAATCCCTTGCATTTATTATTCACATAAATCGATTGTTGGGGCCTCAAATTTTGCTCAAACTGGGTATCTGCTTACTTCCAAAGAAATGTTTCTTATTTGTGTGTATWATTGCAGGATTGCGATAAATTTCGATTATAATTCGTGTCGAAGGTGGGATTTGCTGAAATATCGGCATACTAATTCCTGCAACTGGACAGCTTAATTAACATTGCGTGCTGGTTAGACTGGCAGGTTATTTCAGGGCAACAAATCCTGCATTCGCAACATACAATTTATTGTCACAATACGACAGGATAATCCTGCACTAATCACCTCAAATTGCAAATATTTGCTTTGGCTTTAAAATCCCGATTTTTTGCCTTCATTGGTGTCACCAGAAGGGTTTAGGATGTTATTCAACCCGGCCTAACAAATTAATCTTAAAGTTTACCACTCAAAAACAATGACTATTTGCTACTGGACAAACAGGCCGATAGAGACGTTGTTTGCCGGCAAGTGCAGGATTCAAACCGGGGCGGCAACATTCACCTCAATTGCTCGTTTAAATTTTCAAGAGCAAAACACTCCTCGCCTTTTTTCCCCCAGTTTCAACATTTATCTTCTTGGGTTGAAAATCCCCTTTTCTTGATACCTTTTTCTGTCGATTACAAGTGGAGAATACTTCAAGGCACCTCTGAATCCATTAAGCCTGATCCGCTGATGAGTGATGCTGATGGATGACGAAGGTTAAAGAATAAAACGTTGTCTTCAGAAACTTGTGGCGTTAGTAGAAACTAGTTTCTCTGCTTAGTAATGGAATCAATCCCATTTTTCAAAATTCAGTTTCTTTGTTGTTATTGTGTTCCGTCGTTCAATTGTGACACAAATTTATAATTTATGAAGCTTCCCTAAACTCGCTCCGCTTTAGTTTCACTGGACCAATAAATCACTGCAGGAACTTGCAACTTTTGCGAAAAAATTTAATAATAAATTATCATATTGTGCGGCGAGGCCGAGGAAAAATGTGCAACACCATTGCAAAGTGATTAATGGAGACATTTTGTTAAGTAACTTCGCTTTTGTCTCTAGAACTGTAATTTGCAAAGCTGTTGCGGCCGGAATTAATGCACTTTGCTCCGTCAGCTTTTCCACTGGCAAATCTAACCCTGTCAAGGTACAAAAAATTAAATATATGAAAAAGATGCAAAACATTATCTGCCTATCACCAGTGAAACACCGCTTAACAATTCCCAACTGTGCTAAGAGCATTACTTTACTGAAGTAACTTAATAGAATTTATCTAAAGGCTCAGAAAGGGGATCCAATAAATTACATAGATTTATTGAAATTGATGCCAAAGGCTCCAAGAACCCCCATAGCGGACTGATTTATGATTGTTTCGTAGGTTGCTTTGAGTGAAGCTGGATCTAAATTGCCTTTTCTTGCAGACAAGTGATTTCATTGACCATCATCGAAGAGGACAGTTACGAGAAAGACGTGCTCTTCTACGTGCAGCTGGGCGAGCCTCAGATGTCCGGTGGTAAGACCCAATGTTGCTTAGGATCTTTTTCTCTCTCCTTATACAGTTTTTGTTCCATATCTTCCTCTACTTCGCACTATCTACGTCGTGTTTGCATGCTAAGTAAGTAACTTAACAATGTATTAGTTGTTCGATTATTGCACTCATTGTTTTTGTTGATTTTTTTCAAAAACCTGTTGTTAGCTGTGTCCTTCAGCGGCACTCTACTGTAGGTTTATTAGAGAAGCACCCAGACTAGAAGGAGCGGTTTGCGTAACAAAGTTTATAGATTCTAGCGGAAAAGTTTAGCCAAAAAATCAAACGAAGATGTAATAGAAGAATCGTGTTGTTTTAATAGAATTTGCAGCTAGTGGAGCTGTATAAACGTATAAACCTGCAACCAAATCACTTTTGAGAGCACTGAATATATAGAAAAAGTCGCTGCGTCAGATGTTCTAATTAATCTGTAATCGCCCTTAGTAAAAAGAGTTATTGTACAAAATGCTGAGGAATCAAAGGTATGTAAGCATGATAACGTAAGAAAACATCAACTACTAAAGAAATACAAAACTGAGTAAAGCAGTTAAACGAACATTTCCACACATGAATTAACTTAATTAAGGGTTTCACAATTTACACTCCGCTAACTGTTGTATTTTATTCAAAACTCCATATATTTTTCCATTTACTCAACTGGGAAAATGGAAATTGAATGCCCAAAATTCCATCGGGGAATTATCAACGCTTTTCACTCGAGCTTCTGTAAAGAGTTGTTAAACTTTATTACCGGAAGAGGGTAATTGAATCCAATCACTCGTGACTGTTCCGCGGCGGATCAAGGTTGAAAATGGCTACATAAAATTTTACACCTCCATATTATCGCCCTCGTAAATTCCCCTAAACTCTGCCATCATCAACTCATTTGATTACATTCATACTAAACATGTTTATTATTGAAGCGGGTTACTTTTTTGGGCTTAAAGCACCCAGGAAACCAGCGCTGAAGATGCGAGCCACGCCTGCTTGCGAAACGTTCTCACGATGGCCAGAAAATTCATCATTTGTTTAAACCTATCGACATTTCAACCAAATAATTCGCTTCGATGCAATCGCATGTTTCCCCTTTAATCGGATTGTGTTCTTATCGGCTTAACCTATATATTATGAGCTGGTAACGGGTGGGTTTGGAGCTTGTTAAACATTGGCCAAGAAAAAATTGTTGAAATGTTAATAAAGCGCGAACATCGCGTTTCCGAAAATACCCGCATCTAAAAATATCTAAATTAAAGCCTGTAAAGTTTTTTGGCCAACTACAGATGCGTTCAGCTGCTACTCGTAACGATTTTGAAAAAGACAATGTACCTGATGCAATAAGGAACTGGGAAAAGTCGCTTTTATGCTGCTTCTAAACTAGGAGAAGATCGTAAAGTGGAGTTTCTATTTGTTTCCAAGTTTCCTTTCATAGATTTATCTTTTCTAAAAACTTGTAAACTGTATCGATTGCCCTGGAAATTTCGCTTCATTGGCGCTAATTTTCGTTCATAAGTTCACCCAAAAACAATGACTTTCTAATGGGGTCCCAGCTGTACGTAATGCACACTTGCTCCATTCCCTTTTCGCTATATTGAGCTACATTAGTGCCCATGAAAATGGCCTTCTTTACATAATATCGAATTTCCTGGTTGAAATATTAGCTTGGTTAATGTTTTCCATTATTAGTCGCCGTTTTTTCTATCAACACGCTTAATTTCTAGCAAATTTGGACGTCAATCAACTTTCTAAAGCTTATTAATTGCATGGCTTTTGATAGACACAAGGTGTTAGATGGGATTATTGTATTTTATAAAATATTGCGACAGGGAAGTATTAAAAAAAACTAAGGGACTTTTCGCGAAAACGGATCTGAGGTAAAGTTGCAGACAAAATCAAAATAATTACCCAGTCGCAAAGTGATTAAAGCTAGCAGCTTTCAATCCACTGGTTTTATGGTAAAACAAAGATTGAATCGATTTTTTGTGCAATTTCTAGACGAGGTAGCCAGCCTGGCGGCTGAGGCAGAGAAAAAGCGTCCCGAAGATAGAACAGAACGGGAAAGAATCGCAATTATGGGCAAGCCAAGACTAGGAGAAATTACCAGGGCACAAATTAGGATAAAAGAGAGCAAAGAGTTCAAGGTAGGTGGGTTTAATTTTTTTCTAATGTTCCTACTGAAAAAGTCTCAATTTTCAGCGTAAAACTCTGGCTGTTATTCTGCAGTTGCAAAAATCCAGTCACGTTTAAACGAAAACTAATTAAAAGAGCGAAAAGTGCACAGAATTTTCCACGAACTCAATCGGTCGCTGCATATTTGCAAAGAACCCGAAATATATTCGATTTCACTTCCAAATCCCTGCAGCGATTTCCCCTCAAAACAACATTTTTCATTGTTATATGCGCTTGAAGAGGAAACAAGCCCTTCATGTGAAAGAAAATTGTTTTATCAAAAGGATTTTAGAGGCACGAAACAGGCACTCGAGCCCAACTCAACAATCGAGGTTAATCGCTTGCTGCCAGCGACGCCTGACCATTCATGCTTTAATGCTTAATAAGGCTTGACATGCTTGAAAAACCCAAAGTTCATACGCTAATCAGTGGGTATTGAAAAAGGGTCGGCCCTTAATAGTGTGCTTCCAAACTGATTTTTTCCTCAGGTTGCTCTCGCATGACCTTTGAAAATGTTTAGGGCCGATGCAAGTGAAACGTCGGGTTGTAATCATATGAAACCGTGTTTTCGTTCAAACCGTTGAGTGTGGACTTTATGAAGGATTTTTTCGGACTTCCATTGCCTTACGACCATGAACAGAAATCTATAGAACTGAAAATACAGCGTTTAAAACTATGCAGTGTTTGAGCAAACCGCCTCAGAAAGAAATTTTCACCAGTCGTAACTCTTTTCACCAAAAATACCAAACGCCGCCTCCTAAAGTACGAGTGATAAAAGGAACCTATTTGTATGGTCTTTTACGCAAATAATAAAGTAAACCCGTGAAGATTTCCGCGAAAAATGGAGATAAAAAGACGATTGTCTGGTTCTATGCATAACTCACGCCTGTCTGAACCCCAGAATTCTGGACGCAGCTATTTTAATTTGAAAAGGAAAAATAAAATAATAATAGGAACTGCAGAGCATGCATAGAGAGGCGCTTAGGGGTTGAAAAGACTTGCTGGGTAGATTCGCGTAAGCGTTATGCTCAACATAAAGCATTCTCTGGCTGGATGGTTTCATAAATCCAAATTTCCTACTTGCTCGCTTCAAAGGCCCAACGTTAGATAGTTCAGTTAATTATAATTAGTAGTGGTTGTTTGTCGTTAAATATTGAGCATAGACAAGTTTCCCAATAAATATCAATTTGGATTTAAAACGGGAAACGACCCCCCGGGACGTTTATGAACGAAAAGGTTTATTATCGCTGGAGTCGTGTAGAACAAAGCAAGGGAGGAACGACAGTCTTCCAAATCCATTTCAAATGGGAAGTTTTGGTAAAGTTTTCGGATGTTACATGGAAAGCAAACGCAACCGAAGACCGATTATTGTTTGGATTTCTGCATGCTGGTTTACCGCCGGATTAAGTTCGGCTAAACTTCCAGCCGGGGACATTTCCAGACAATCTTATCGATTTTGTTTTTTGGCCGTTTGCTACAAGATAACGGAAGATTTTGGGGAGAAACAAATGGGGATATTTTCCCATATAAATGTTTTTTGTACAAGTGTGGTGTATTGATTTTTGCCGCCGAAAAAATGAGTGAAAATTAATTAATTGAATTGAATAAAGAGCAAAAACACACAAACGATATGGATTAAAAAGGTTATTCAATTTAGGAACTTTCCACAATTTCTAGTCCTTATCTTATTGAGCGTGTTCAGTCTCAGTTTGGGTTGGTTGTTGTATGTTTTTCAAGGAAACAATCTGGCCCTCAGGACGCTGAATAGAAAACTAGATTCTGTGAAAAGTTGTTAAATTCAGTACAGTTTTTTAATTGTGCCATGTGGTTTTGTTATTTTTCTAGTTGAATCATTTGGCTTTTTTATGCTGACTGTAGGTAGGTGTTAAGCAGTTCAGCAAAAATGTTCAAAGCTTGGCCGAAAAGGCTCTGCAAATCACTCCAAAATCTTAAACAACTGTAGAAAGTAGAAAAGATCAAAGGCTTCAGGCTTAAAAGTGCCATCAAAAACCCGAACCATAATTTTTTTACTTAAAACTTGTGATTTCTATGTGAAAAAGTTCAAATCTAGCGTTGAAGCAATTTTCGCTGCAGAATTGAAATCATCAAACTTAGGTAAAAAAGTGGATGAGCTCTAGAAATTGAAAAATTTAAGACAAACTATTCCCTTAAATTTTTCTGTTGGACTATTGAACAACTAAAAAGGCAGAAAAATAGGCTCAATTAGCTCCACCTAATTTATTTTGCAATGCTTCCAAAGGTCCAAAGTTGGTGTATAAATGGGCACGTTTGAAGACCGTACGTGACTTTCTAAAACACCTAAATTGTTTCATCCTTCGAATGGATTCCAGTCAGAAATCAATGCAATCCGACTTTTTTAACTGGGAAAGCTTCATCCATTGAGGAATTTTACAAATCCACTCAGAATTGAATGTGATTTTCGTGCCATTTCCTCTCTGTTGCCAATAATCGTATTCAGTCCAAGAAACTGAAGTCAGGTAACAAACGGAATTTTCTTTTTGAAAACTTCCCAACAAAATCCTCAAGAGTTGGAAAAATCCTCAAATACAGAGTGGAAAACAATTCGTTTCTGTACACCTGAAGGATGGAAGTCATCGGCTGGCGATTTATTTCACGAAACTTTTCGATTCCCTAAACCATACTCAATAATAAACGATCCCTTAGGTCACGAACACCCAGCTTGTCTGTTGGGGTTTTCCGGCGAAACAACATTTTTCACTTTGCCACGTTGCAGGTCAGGGCATTATTTCTAAAATAGAGAAAACGTATCGATATGTCGTTGATCCCAGTGTTCGCTGTAACGTACGAAGAAAATTTATCAATTTCGGTCAGCTAGGATTTATTTGACAGTGAGTAAGTAATCCATCGCCAGCAGAAATGAGCAAGAATTGCTTTACACAATCGTGAAATACTGTCGTGGTGGCCACAGGCCTTAAGAATCTTTGGTGAAAACTATCACAAGAAGAACGAATATTTACATATGTTCCCAATAGTGCCCTAATCCAACTGCAATCTAATGAATCTTCTGACTTTCAAGTTTCGATAAAACCCCT